CAAAGCAGAAGGAAGATGCAAAATACTCAGAGCTATTAAACACAGTCCTCAGAAACAGGCATTCTGCCCCAATGGGTTAGAAGATTTCAGACTACCCCTTATGTCTTTCGCAGGGAAACTCAAATAAGTGATTACAGAACAAGTATTAGAAAATAAGCAGAACAGGGGCAGTATTCTTGATTGGTAATTCAAGAAGTAGGAAACAGCTCTTCAGATGCCCTACTGGGAGTATTTCTCAATGCCACCACCAAGGATATGAAATAAATAATTGAAACAGTTGCAGGAGAGGGAAGAGGAGTTCAGGAATATCCTCTTATTATCCATATTAGAACAAACCACATGCAAACTATAAGCCAAAGTCTGCAAGGTTAGTTTACAGATCCAGAAAGAGCTTAAGGTGGGTGCAAAACAGATGATCCACTTGGGAAGAAAAAATTCCAATGCACTAAGGCAAGAAATAACAAAACAAAGAAACAATTGAGGTTTCTAAGGAAGCAAATGCTGTCTGTGGTGCCACTGAAGTCAATTAGATAGTTTTCAGCTACAGTGATGGACCAATCTCTCAGGATTAAAAAAAAAAAAAAAAAGAATCTCATGGGGCACAGGCAAGGGCAGAGATACTGGTTTTGTTTCTCCTCACTTTCTGGCACCTTTGTTCATGTTGAAAAAATAAAACACGTTATAAGAAAAAGCAAATAAAATGGTTTTTAAGAGACAATAGCAGCATGAAAAATGCTTTCCAATGAGAAATATGATAAAGTCATTGAAACTTTTTATGCCATCACTTTAGAAAAATAGTGAAATTGCAATAACAGAGCAGTGAAGAAATGAACTTCTCCCAAAGAAATGCTGAACAGCAGGAGCTTTTCTGGATTATTTTAGTTGAGTGTACACATCCATGTCACACCATCATTTCTTACTTAAAAACAGCTGCAGAAGGCTCCTGCTGTGGCCGCTGCCGTTAGCTGAAGCTCTGATCTTCCTGTCTTGATACAACTCATCAAGTCGCATTTCCTGCTGGAATTAGAGTGGCAGCCCCTAGGGACTATGCAGCTGCCCAATTTATATCAGAGAGTCTAAAGCAAGCAGTAGTATTTTTTCAAACTGCTTAATTTTTATTTATTTATTTTTTATTAATCCCAAATTCTATTAAGAAGTTTCTCCCCCTCCACTTTCCATGCGTTTACGTTTTGAAACAATTAAAACATGGGACATTTCAAGGACTGTGCACAAAAGTTAAAGGCAGGAAAAAGTATAGCTAAACTCACTGGCATCAAACCAAACCATGGCTATAGCATAAAACTGAGCCAACAGATCAGAAAGCTTCAAGGATATTAGTTATTACATTCCTAGTAGTTAGATAGTAGGGATGGTATATGAATACTATAAAACAACAAAAGCTGCAGATCATGGCACAAAAGTATTTTGCATCAGAGCAAAAAGAGGAGAGCAAGAGGGAAACTGTCCCAGCTGAGTGCTCAAACCATCTGCTGCCAGGTAAGGATAGCTACAGGGTCATCAGTAAAGATGCTAGAAGCCAAAAATGCAGATTACCATCTTTTTTGTTCTGTACTTCTACAGTGCTTAACACAGCAAGAACCAAATCAGTGAAGAATCTTCCTAACAGCTATGATAGGTTATGATAAATAAGAGTTTGGAGAAGATCATGTGGCATTCCGTTAAGTAGTCTCTGAGTTAAACACAGATATCCGTAACTCAAAGAAACTCAAAGAAAGTTACTAGACATTCAACACTCCTTAACCACCAAGCAGGGTAAAAACCAGTCACTCTCTTGTACGTGATTATTTTTTTAAAAAGGTCTGTCACAAAGAGTATCAAAACCAAGGCAAAGTGGCTCTACTTCAAAATCAAGAAACACAGAACCCTACAAAAGTATTAATCTCGTATTTTTTCAAAGAATAAAAAGCAAATCAAAGTAGAGCATGTTAAATTGTGCATTAGAAGGGCTCTCAGCTAGGTTCCACTTCCAAAATTACTTGAGAGCACATTATAATTAGTAAAGGTACGTGACAGTTTTATACCCCTCTATGATGCATGATTAAAGCCAGGCAGCCCAGCTCTGCCACAAGTTCTGCACGCCGTCAAAACAGATGTGACAAGAACTACAAGCTGCTCCCAGACACTGTGAGAAAGCATAGGCAGATAACATTTTGGCCATCAAAGAGGTAAGACATGATACAAAACAAATTAAAGCTCAAAACCCCTTGGAGAGGTAGATAAACTGTTTTATAGGAGGTTATATGATGAATCTTATGCTTGTGCCACAGTGCTCCAGCTGAAGAACAAGAATGAGAACAAGCTCCTACCTTCCCCTCTGAGGTGCAACTGGGAGCAAAGTTTACAGCCTAAAGATTAACAGATCACAGCCTCAGCACCAGGATGTGGAGCACAAATGACTGGCGAAATCACTGCTGTAGTGATCTGTGAAACTGCTGGTTTTTCCCATGCAAGACAGATACCTATGATCTGTCTGCAACAGAAAATTATGGAGTCTTGGCTCATCATGAAAAACCAAATCTAAACTCCACACAAATTCTGCCTCTTACATTTGCACACCTTTGTCCACTGAGCACTCACTCAGAAAATCAGTTAGAGCCTCAACTCCTTACCATTAACTGTGAACAAGCTAGGTACAGTTGGGAAGCCATGCATCAGTCAAGGCCTATGCTCCCTGAACTCAGGTTAGAGGGAACAAAGGTGTTGGAAATAAATGTGTAAGGAACAAGGAAAATTTGGTGCTCTAAAACCACACATTTATTTTGGATAAGTATTCCATGACTGGTTTGTAAGCGTGAAACAACAATGGGGCAATTTGTTTCTGAGAAGTGTATCATTTTTATTCTCACTTACCTACAGATTTCCATATTTAGACTACATCTTAATGATTCTTTCTTTGTGACATCCCTCTGCATATAGCACCGTTCCCTCCGTTTCCAGGTAGCCTCCCCCACTGCTTCCTCTGCAATGGTTAAGAGCCCACCTCTCTAACACACCAGTGGCTCCAGGCAGTTTTCCAGATATAGCCCTTCAGCCATTTCCACCATGCTGCTCATGTTGTGCCCTTTTCCCCATCACCTCTGCAGAAATGACTTTTCTCGTTATTCCCCTGCCCACGAGGTAGTCCCCTTCTACAGGAGGTGCTGTAGAAAGGGTGCAACTGGTTTCTCCTTCAGGCACCTCATGCCTTCCCTAGCACGACAGTTTAGGTGAGGTATAAGTTCTCACAACTTTACTACGTGACTTCGCAATCCTCCATTTCCTATGGCACCTCTTGTACACGGACAGACACACAGCAACAGCTATGCAGGTACCTACCTATGCCTCACACACACCCTGACTAGGCTGTACAAAGCCTCAGTTGGGTTACCAGCTCTTCCTTCTGCTATGATGTTACCTCCCTGCAGTTTTTGCATCTCAGAGTTAACCAAAGCTCCATTTACACAGGCACAAAGTGAGAGCTACATGCAACACTGAATAACTACACACTGTTGAGCTGCCAGGTATATATATAACTATGCATGAATGTACACGCATGTGTAACTTTCCTCAGACAGACAACTTGCCAATGCCTGACTCACCCATGATTCACCCCTGAATTTTCTTAGATAAAACAGCTGAGAGAGGGGAGGTAGTTAAACACTGCAATTGCTAAGTGAACACTCTTAGATCTGAAGAGTTTAGAAAAACCTCACAATGTTGAATTTATGAAATCTACCAAAGACAAAAAATTCCCACTGCTTCTACAAGGGTGGGCTGGTTAAGGTGGGCAAAACATTCAAGCCACTACTTTCTGGTATGAAGAAATAAACTTGTTGAAAATTTATAAGCAAGATTGTATTCCTCTGTGGCTATGTTGATGAAGGAGGTATATACGATTGCAGTCCCTTTACAATCAAGCTTCTCATCACATCAGTTTAATTCAGAGACAGTAAATAAAGTGCAGCTGCCTGGTTCAGGTCTTGACACCCAGTTATGCTGAATGTCAATGCAGCAATGCAAGAGAACTTACTTAAGTGGCAGATTATATATATATATATATATATATATATATATATATATATAAATATATATAAACTCTATACAAATTTTGTTGAACATAATCAGATAATTAGAAATAAGAGCTTTCAACGCAAACACCTTGGTTATCCCTTTGCACAAGTGTAAGCTTCTGCACAACAGGGAAATCTTACAGAGCAGGACTGTTTAACACCTCTTCTAAGCAACTGCAAGTGTTGCCAAGCTGTCTTAATCTTCACAATTATGCTTTGCTATTAACATGATTCACAGAAGAACAAATAAAACACACCGAAACAAGCCTTTGTTATCACTGGGAGCACATTCCACTGCAAGAGCAGCAATCCTCTAAAGAATGACATTCTACAGATGTCTGAATTTGGGAGGCTACTTTGGTGGACACTAACAAGGTGTTTCTGGATGTTGAAACATCAACAGAATGTGCCAGATCATTTTCCAACATCCTGGAGGTGAACCAATTTCAATACTCCTCTTATTTCTACAAAAAATAATTATAACTGTCCCTCTGTAAAGCAATGGGATCTTCCATACAAGTGAGGTGGCTGCAGAGCAGCAAGTTTTATTCTATGCAGTGCATATAACATGTTGAAAACATATGTGATGATTTAACGACTTAATGTGATATCACTAATTTGACCAGAGTGAAGAGCATAACAGCAGATGTGAATGTTCACTCTATGTGCTAGTGCTACAGCAGAGCATCAAACACATTTTCATGGGATCTGAAAAAAGAAGTTTGCTTAACAACAGGTCTGTAAAATTAAAAACCTGCAACCAACCCAAGAAGAGCTGGAGTTCCCTTCCACTCAGTGAAGCATCTGGCCTGATTGCTGGTGGCTGCCGATCACTACCATGTCATCACTCTAAAGCCGTGAAACATCCCCGCAACCACGTTAATTAGCTCCCCTTGCAAAGCGCTTAAGCCATAGAGCGAGGTTACTCACGTGATGTCTCTGCGCTGATAGCAACCTTGAAGAAGGCAGGCGATCAGGTCACTGATAAACTCCACATCATCCCTGTGAAGAGCAGCTTCCAGTTCCTAATGAGCAGAAAGGAGAGGAAAAAAATTCCAACCATCAAACTAATTCCTTAAAATTTACTGTTAGTTAATCAGGACTGAAAAGACCCAAGCAGCCTCAAGTACGTGTACAGCAGCAGAGCATACACTGGGTAAGCCGACCTTCCCCATCATTAAAAATACTGCTACTACTACCACTACCTCTTCATTGCAAGAGTTTATGGGAAGACCTTGAAAGGTTTTTACTGAATGTCACTCTCCAGCCAGATGACTAATGCTTTTGTCTGGAAACAGAAAAATAGGGTTCAGTGAGGTTGAGATACTGCAGCCTAATAAGAAAGCCATGATTTCTCCCATGTTCAGCTAATGAGCAGGAATCAACAGTTTCATTCTCCTGCTTTGCTTTCCATTCGCTAAGGCTCATAAGTCCATTTAAAAGATGCGCTCAAGAAAGCATGGCCCTAAAAGCCACTTACACAGAGAAATAGCAGTTTCAGATGGATAGCCAGAAATGGCTGAAAGCTAGCAAGTAAATGCCACAAAGAAAAGTAGTCATTTGATTATTTAACTTATTTCTCTTTGGGTTTTTTATAGCCTTCAGTAAGAAAGAAAGGATGGTGGGATGTCAGAGACCTCATGACCCAAAATCTCAACCCTTGATGGAAGGGTAGAGAGTATCATGGCTTATTCCACTATGATGGAGTTCACGTAAATGAGTGATGCAGGAACTGATCCACAAAAGGAATAAACTTCTAAATGTAGTTATTACAAATTTTGCATATGTTGTGAGAAATATCTGTTTTTCAGCTAGCAATTTCAATCTCTGTTTTCAAAATATTACTAGGTTAACTCCAGTTTTATTTATATGCCAGAAGAACATTCACAGTAAGAAAACTCCACTTCCTATAAGAGTTATCATCAGTAGTATACAGCACTTAACAAAATTTAATATGGATAAACAACATCGGCATAAGAACATATTCTTTTTGGGTTTCAGAGTAAATAATGGATTGAATACAAATTCCTACTTGAATGTTACTCAGCAGACTGTTACACAAATGGCTAAACTAATGGCTATAGAATAAAGGTTAATGGCCGGAGAATAAAGGATAAACGTTTTGGCACTTACCCAATAAAGAAGAGAAAGTGCTTTTTTATTAGGCCACAGTAACTGCGGTAATAAAATTATTGATAACAGATTGCAGATTAAACGCCACTTGTAGTTTTTTATTGGAAATGTATTAATGGCATATTTTCATTACCAACACCACTACTCTTTACCTCTTGTGCAACATCCAAAGTGCTTCACTAGTGGAAGCTTGACACTTGCCTTGTGAAGAATGTAATAAATGCATCTATTATACCTGGGGCAAGGAAAGGGTGGTGGGCAGCCAAAGCCTGACACAGCAACCCTGCTGCAGAGCTAGGAAAAGTCCCAAGAATCTCTGTGCTGGCCTCTACATGACTACTCTGTTTAATGACAAGTTAATACAAAAACTGCAGTTGCTGCTTGCCATCCCTTGGAGAGAGTGATATTATTGTACAAATAGTAATCACACTATATAAATAGCAATTACCAAGTGAATACACATGGTAAGCAGTTAGTATTTTGGAGGTGTTGACTTATTTTCTTTGTAAATTACTTTAGTGGACATCTGCCTTCTGAGAAAATATACCGGGGGGGGAAGAAACCCAACAAAGTGTGTGATGTGGTAAAACATTCCAGGTGTGTTACCACAGTAAACTTGCAGATTGTGAAAAATGGTATTACAACCCAGAATAAAGGATGGGGGAAAGTAAGTCTCCAGGATGTTCCCCCACATTCAGCCTTTCCCTCATCCACATATACTCATGTACTGAAGCTGTCAGTCAGCAGCCTGCCTCTGCTAGGATTCAACAGCCTTTTGCATGAAGGGGTATTTAAATTGCTTCCCGAGAGCCTTTTCAGAGCCTTAGATTAAGCAGTGACTCTGATAGCCCCTATCTGCAGACATTGTTTGCCAGGCCTGGGAGTGACCTTTACATTTTAGGAGCAAGCAAGTCACCCTAAGGATATGGGGAACATTCCTTGGGCACTGAGCAAGGTGCTGTCTCCTCGGCAGGGACCCACCAGTCTTTGCCAAAACACCTGCCCGCCCCCCTTGCTGTTTCCTCTGTCCCAGACAGGTGATCCTCATCCTTGCCTTCATGGCAGGTACAGCACCGATCTGGGGACCCAACCTGGCTGCAGATAGATCTTGCAGCCACTAGCTAACAGGAGCACTGGGCATTCAGACTGACGTGGGGCTGGGTGCAAAGTCCAGGTGCCACACTGGGTTAAGGGGCTCTGGTATAAATCAGGATTAATCAGCACACACATAGCACGGGGTTAATGAAGATCCATCATTAGCAGGCATGAGGCTGTCAGCACCTCTGTAGAAAGGTGCTTGCATTGCACTCCTCAGTGCCCTGGGTGCTGCCCACTCTGGTCCTCTGGTCCCTACTGACAGTTGCACCCAGTGCCAGAGGGTGAAGGCACCGTCCAAGTATTACCATGATTATTTGTCTTGGAAAAAAGATATGACATTGTCCTGTAAAGTTTTTGTCTACTTTTTTTTCTGTCATTGCTTGTGATAGGACAAGACACTGAGAGGTGCTTTAATTTCTCAGGGCTGAGTCCCTTGGCCCTGTTTAACTGAATGTCACAATTTTCTATCCCACTGGATTCTCCAGTTTTCTCCCCCCAGACACCTAAATCCTGAACTTTTCCCACATGCCCAGGGTGCTGTGGGAATGCCAGGAACCAGGAGGACACAATACAAATCTTAACATCTCAGGACCACAAATAAAGAATAAACCTTGTTTTTCCAACAAAGGGACAGCTAGTAAAGCGTCACGGTGGTCAAGCGGTGCATCTGAACAGAGGTGGCCGAAGTGACGCCAGGGTTTCCCAGGAGAAAGAGGCTAAAATGCCCCTGGTCCTCAGAGCCAACCCTGCCTTGGGCAACTGTCCCCACACTCCTCTGGCCTGGCCAGGGTGAGTGGCAAATGTCTGGGCTTCCTCCCTGCCACCATCCTCCCCACGCCTCCAACCCTTTTGTTTTTCCCCTTTTCTCTTTGAGCACTGAGCTGTGAGCACAGAAATCTGAACCTTGCCAAAATGCTTTGGGGACGGCACAGAAAGGAAACAGAAGAGGCAGCAAATCAGTGGAGGAAGGGGGACACACACACACATCTCCTTCTCCTCCTCTAGCTGGAGAGAGCAACAAACAGGAGAAAAGCAGGATTCTCCCCCTCTCCAGCTGGCGTCACACCTCATTAGGGAAAAGCCTGTTTAACGTCTTTCCCTCCCCCCAGCCCGGGACTAAATCCCCCCTGAGTCAGACAAGGGCTGCAGGGAAGAGGTGGCCACTGGAGCAAGGGTGACCGCTCGCCCAGGAGGAGCACTGGCCTGAAGCAGGGTTAGCCAAGGAGGGTGAGAGGGCACCATCCTGTCCCTCCCCGTTCCCTGGGAAAATTGCTGATACGGGTGGGCTGGGAGAGAAGTTCCACTGCCCCACTCCTGCCTGCCTACCCCAAGCCAGGCACTTTGGCAGGTATGGTTAACTCCACCGGTGTGCTGCTGGCCAAGGGTTGCGTCTGAAACAAGCACTGCACCCCCAGAGCTGCTTGGAGCACCTGCATTTTGTTGCCACTGCTACTTTGGTCTGCTCTTGACAGCACCTAAGTGCTGTCGCATCTGGATGCATGGTGACCCAAACCCCATGCTGCCCAAAGTATACCCCCCTTCTCAATATCTGTGCAGATTTTTGAGAGGAAAGACAGTCAACTTCCCCGGTAAAAGTAAATGAATGAGTCCACAACTATGACAGTAGTGACACCACTGTTACCAACACCAACACAGAGGTGACAGCAGGGCTGCTGCATGCACTGGCTTTTTGAACTATGGAAAGCTGCCAGTCAGACTTCAGATCCTAGAAAGCTGTCTGCTTGGAGGGTGGTGTCACAAAGTTTGGGACCCTTGTTTCTGAAGACAGGATCCTCTATAACTGCAGGGAAGCCCAGCATGTCCAAGAGCCCAGTGTGAGCAGTCTGGGTGCTGAGGTACAGGGCTACAGTTCAAAGGCTTCCTCTGTGCTGGAGCTGAATCATCTATAACCGAATCTGATGGACATAACTAGTTTAAGCACAGCTAAGCTTTGTCCAAGTTAGCCATCAGTTAAAAAACCCTGATCTCTTCAGCTCTATTTCCATACTGCTGCCATTATTAGCTTTCCATTGCAATGCTTCCAAGTGACTCAACAGGCTTTTGCGGAGGCTTTAGATCACCAAAAGCTACCAAGTGAGCTGTGCTGAGGCAGCCCCAACCCATGCACTGAAATTTCAAATGAATTTGTCATTTAAGTCAGGACATCCTTTTCCCCATAATTAATGACAACAGGTACCTGGGCAAATTAATGCAAAAATGTACAGTTACTGGGATTGGGCAGGAAGATAGGAAGTCAACTGCAAATCTGATATCCTTCCAACAAGCACCATTTATCCCTGTGTTGCATGAAGCCAGCGTGTGTGATTCACATCTCTGGCTAGGAGCTCCTGCTGTCCTCCCCACCAAAGAGCCAGCCGTCCCAGGAGGATGCAGGGACTTGTTGAGGGACCACTGCTCCCCCCAACACATCCCAGAGAGTAAAGTGTGGCACCCTCCTTTTGGCTGCAGAGCACAGCCAGCCAATTTACCCAAAGCAGCAGCATAAGGTCAATGAAGTGAATAGCAGGAGATAGTCCTGGAGCTGAGGTGACAGGATCCAGCTACACCATGAGCCAGTTTCTCTGCCAACCCCCACAACTCAGTGTCAGTCTGTACTTGCGCTCAGCCCCTAGGACATATGCAGCACGCCTGAAGAAACCATACCCCCACCCAGCAGCCAGAGAGCTTTCTACAGTCCAGTACCACGATCTTCCTGCTTGTGACTGTTGCCATCATATAGAAATGGTTTTCAAAATATGAAACCTACTGAGAGTGCCTCACTCTGCAT